TTTAACCAGACTAACCTCGTGTTGCTTTAGGGAAAATTCATCGAAACAAAGACACAGAACACACAAGATATAGTGTTTTTAAAAACATTTTTTAATGAAGAAATAATTCCATTCCAAAATATAGACACACAATTAAATAGTTTAATCACTTCAAAATATAACATGTTCCCAGGAGGTTCCAACACACACACATACACACAAAACAATACTTAACAGCAATACAAAAAACCCATACAATAGTAGTTTTGTTACAATACCAATGAATCTTGTGAAATCTTTAGTGTCTCTGAACTGGTTATTTTAAATGGTGTCAAATTACAGTAGTCATCATTAAGAATCTCTTACAGTTAATTAGCCTCAGGATGTAATGCTTCTGATTTTTTTCCCCCTCTTTTTGGTTCAAAGGTAGAAATGCCCTTTCTTCTGAGGACACAGTGGAGTTCTTGTTTGTGGCTCCTTGCGCGGAACTGAACCAAGGTGACTGCAGCAACCGAAGGTTGCCGTATTTACAACGTCTATCTACAGGTAACAGCCAAGAACTAATAAGGGTGGACAAAGATGATCAAAATAAAAGCAGACATCAGTGCTAAATTATGATGCAACAGCTGGGCTCATGCATATAAGAAAATACATAGGCTATCACAACAAAGGCCACACTCTTCATGTAATTCAGTTCACATTACTACTTACAAAGGGACCTTCCCTGCCTGATAGTAGATCGTTCGAGAATCCATTTTTCACAAGCTCCAGCACATCTCCCTCTGACCAACCAAACGTACCCCGACTTCCGTCCTGACCAACCACAACTGATTCCTGAATCCCCTCCAGTAGATTCCATAGTCCTCCCTCCCTCCGCTAACATGGCGCTGCAGGGAAGGGCTGGCTGTGTTAGACCAGTGCTCACGAACAGGCCATCATCCCTAATGGAGATGGATGTGCAATTCATCGTGGAACAAGAAAGAAACAGCCCCCGCCAAGATATATCTAAAGGACAAGACAGGTGACACCTGCTGGATTTGCACTTAGAACAGGCCCCACAAGTAGATCTGGAGAGCCAGGGAAAGAAACCCACCGAGTAACACAAAAACCCAAAACAACACACGCCATTTTGTCTCGTTTACAGGACAGGGGTGCTTGAGTCTGGTCTCAGTGCTGACGTGGAGCTAAGAGAAAGAAAAGGCGGCTGGTTAGTCAGGAACTGGTCATTGGCAGCAGTTTCCAGAGTCCTTGCAATGGCTTTGGACGATGGTTATCAACAACCGTGTGATGGAGTTGGCAATAGGACAGGGGGAAGGTTATCAGCAAAACAGTTCAGACCTTAGACAAACGTTTTGATGTAGAAACACAAAATGACCACACCTGTCAGCTCGGTCCAGCGGGTGGCTGAATGCCACTTGCAGGGTCAGAGTTCTGGGGTCAAGAACTACCCGGCTATGATCTAGAGCTGACGGCAATGCAGGCAGCCAGGATGCAGTGGTTTTAGGTACTGAGTATGAGGCACAAGTGGCCACCTGCTCCATCTAGCGAGGTACGGTTTCACAGAGGATGGGCGGTGGAAAGAGAGATGAATAAGATCTACCAACAAAACCCGCAATAAAATCCATCTGTGCAAAGAGATGTGAGAACTGGGCAGCTGTGCCGCTTTGGTGCCAGCCTGTTCTCAGGGGTATCTGCCAGGCTGGTTCTCCGGAGGGAAACAGGATTAAGTACATCAGTGGACAGAACAGGCTCCTGGCTGGAGTCAACCCAGAGCTTCGCGATCCTCAAGGCAAGTGATTTAGTCCCACAGGGCAGCCGAGGGGGTGGTTTCTGACCGAACGCAGAGACACAAACATCTTAGAACCCTCTAGAGAGGAGGCTGGAAGATGTCAGGGTGTCTGTGCTCAGCTGGGCACCCATCAACCACTGATGATGTGGGTGGGAGGAGGTTTTTGCCAGCCCTGGGAGCAAAATCGAGTTGCTGAAGCTTTGAGGTTGACCCAAAGCCTGTCTTGCTTATTCTGAATAAGGCCTTTTCAGGGATTTTCTTATACAACTTTATTCTAAAGCAGTGGTTGTCAAACTTTGGTGTGCATCCGAATCACCTGGAGGGCTTATTCAAACACAGATTGCCAGGCCCTGCCCCCAGGACTTCTGACTCAGTCGACCTGGGTTAGGGTCTAAGAACCCACAGCTCTAATCCATTCCCAGGTGCTGCTGACGCTGCTGCGGGCCCAGGGAACACGTTTTGAGAACCGCTGTTCTAAAATGTTCTCTTCTTTCCCTTAAAGGAGAATCAGGAATCCAGAGAAGCTGCCAATTTAAGTATAATGTATCCACTACGTTGCAGGATTTTTAGTTCATCGAATCTTGAAACTAGTAGAAGGTTAGTTTTTCATTTCCCCAGAATCCCCTAAGGGAGATCTTTAGCGCTCCCCCCAAAAAGGGCCCTCGGAAAGGACCATCGACAGTCTTTCCTCCTCCCTCCTCTGACCTGTTCTTTTGCACATCAGCCTTTCACGGAGTGCAAAATCCCAACTCTGCTTCGAAGAGCCTGTTTCCTCTCACATGACCACAGGAGGCTGCATGCATACACCAGGTAGCCAGCTAAGGCAATACACATTCAGAAATAAAAGGAGAGCAAACGTTTGCAAGCACACTTTAAGCCTGTACATTTAAAGCTGAAAGGCCTCCGAACGACCTGATAGGGGAACGTATGGACGAACGGTGCTGTTAGAAACATGCTCCCTAAAGCTACACCGAGAGGATCGAGCCCGGGGAAGAGCAGAGAATCTGAGTCCGTTTTGGGGAGTCTTATGGCACCTGTGGTTTATAAACAGCTTTAGTAACGAGTATTTCAAAACAGAGTTCACAGTTTTTAAGAAGATCTGTGCTGATTTTAAAAACTAGATTCTATATAATTTGAATGTTGTCTCTTTTTTTTTGAATATGATATCTATTTGGAAAAAAAAATATTTACACTAAACTCTATGGCTGATTGGTTAAGAGTTCTCTTGAAAGAAAACAACCTCAAGCTGGAAAGAGGCCCCGAAGACTGGATGATCCTGGTGTGTTTGTGTCCAGCCTCTGCTCTCAGAGACCTGGAGACGAACCCAGACCGTGCTGGCCGAGGACCCTGCTTGGCTTCGGGGCTGGGTCTGTGCACCCAGGCACCAAACCCTTCAGGCTTAGTGAATAATGCCAAGTGGTTGTTTTTTTCCAGTTGCTATGGAAAAAAAAATGTACAGTGTATATAATCAACTGTCTTGCTAAAATCTCAGAGAATTCGGAAATTGAACGTCTAGCTATAAACAGTATTCATATTGTCGTCGTAAACTGACCAGGTTCAGGGTCATGTACGAAGGCTTAAGATGCGTGTTAATACTGCCATCGTGAGTAACTGCAGCCTGAGTTTTCAGCCTGGGTTTTCATTTCGAGGGATGAGCCATGTTACAGAGGATGTAAGCTGATAAGTTAGCTTTGAACAGAAGTCTTTTTTCTTTTTTCCTTCTCAAAACACACACCTGTGAACTACAGATCTTGGAACAAAAAGTGAGCTGCACTAGAGTCGGCAGAACATGAATTTAGGGGGTGGGGGGGTCTGTCGGGAGCTGCTGCGGGCGGTGGTTCCTCTCTTCCGTGAGGTGAGGCTGCTGCCCGGCTGCCCGGCTGCCGTCTTCTCCTCTGGGGGGGTGGGTGCAGCTCAGTCCTTCATCACCAGCTCTCCTGTCCCTTTCATCATCTGTCTGACTAGAGCTTGCCTGGGAATAAGCAATGTGTAATTTTTCTTTAAAGATGGAAACTGTTTTCCAATTAGGGTTATGAGGCCTGTCTGACTAGAGCTTGCCTGGGAATAAGCAATGTGTAATTTTTCTTTTAAAGATGGAAACTGTTTTCTCAATTAGGGTTATGAGGCTTAGAACCCCCCTTTTTCCACACACACAGACACACACACACACACAGACACACACACACTCTCTCTCTCTCTCCCTTCCTCTGACACCAGGAACGAATGTTCTGGGACACTGTGTGCTACTGCACCTTCTGAAAGAAGAAAGGATGAGACTCCTCCTCCCGCTGAGTCTCTTGCCTCATGGGTACCCGAGGCACCTGGAGGGTGTAAGCACCGTAAACAGAGCTATTTGTGCTGTCCTCTGGACAAGGAGGTGGAAGCACTGACTCATTACCAGGATGCCATGCTCATTTTTAAAAACAAATCCACTTTGGATCTTCTAATCCCCCAATGTCTGAAGTTAGGATGTGGCTGGCCAAGGTGAGTGGAGTACCATGTGGCCAGAGGGATGGAAAAGGGACCAACTCAAGGTTGGACTGGGCACAAATGGAATTTTGGTGAACTCTATGCTGAGTGCTAACCTTCATGTAAACTGTTTCTTCCATCATGGCCAGCGGAAAAGCAGTAAGTCAGGTTTCACTCTATTCACTCTTGTTAGTGTGTCGATGAATGCATGTTTATCTCCAAACAGGCCGAAGGCTCTTCTTGAGCAGAGAAGGGGTCCTCCGTGCTTCTGGAGTCCCACCTTTTGCCCCTTAGTCATGTGGGGCTCAGCTTGGTAGATGCTAATTGACTGTGAGCTGATGAAATCGGCTTCAGGACCCTTGGCTAAGAGATGCATGTACTTTGGGATAATTTCTGATCTTGCAGTGTAGCCAGGAAAGTCCAACAAATAGATTTCAATAGCACAAACCATTAAAAAATTTCAGCTGTATTTCTTGGCTACATCAAGAAAAACGACAGTGGGTTAGAACTAGCTGCAAACATGGAAAGCCACTAGCTTCTGCAGTGTTCTGTCAGGTCCTAAACGAATTTTGTCTGACTTGCTGATTTACTGACAGGCTGGTTTATATTTAGTGGCCTGTGGAATGCCAGCTAGTTAGGTACGGGATGCAATAAATGGCATAGGCCACAAGTGCTTTAATTTTTCACTGCCAGATTGGCATCAAAAGATTAAAAAAATGGTTTAAGAACTTTCAGAGTACTGAAATCTTTGATGTTTATGAACGAGAACCAAATACCACTTTTTTATCTGGGTGTGTGTCAAGGGCATTTTCTTAGGCTTTCGAAAAAGTATATTTTTCTAAGCACTACCTACGGATGTTTAAATAATGTGCAGAGCAAAAATGATCAAATTGCTGGAGCTCAGAGAAAGAAAATGCTATGTAAGGAAAAGGCTTGCTCCTTTGGGACTAGATTTGTTATAACTGGAGTGAGTATTTTCAGAAACAGCTCCTGGGAATTTTTTCCCCCGTAGTCATCATGAATCAGGAGGACACGTGGTGTGGCATTCTCAAGCCCAAGGGACGCAGACTAGCACACACTCGGTGAGATCCTTCCTTTTACACCAAACGGGCCTCCCAGCTCAAAAGGTCCGTTTCATAATAACAATTATGCCTCAATTGTTACTTGCTTACTCTTAGCCTGAGGACTGAGACGGGAGGTCAGTGGTGTTTGAGCTGGAGTGTATTCTTTACTAATGGATATGTCATTAAGGAGATCTATGTCCCCTTTTTCAATTTGGCAGGCAGAGCTTACTGTGAACTATGCTACAGACTGACGGGATCCCATGGGTGGGAAAGGGCTGTACAATTAGAGTAGGTGCCAGTCCTTCGGCTCACGCAGCCAGAGGACTGTGAGAGGCGTGTTAGCTTTGAATTGTAATGTGGGACGTCTAACTGGCCACCAGCTGGAGACAGAGAAACCGTCTAGACTCACGGGGCAGGGTAGCTGGAGGTGTTTCAAATCCTTGTACAAAGCTGAGTTCCGGCCTCATTCACAAAAGTAGCCGCTCCCAGGGACTGAACTGCTTGTAAAGCACTGAGCAGAGTGCTAGGCATGTATGGGTGTGCTCGGCATAAAGCTACAGCGTGTCTGCCACTATGGTAAGTCTTTAAAAACCACACCCCAGTGAGGACAGCCTCTCTGTGATTTAGGTATTACGATACACATTGTACAGAGGGAATGGAGGCTCTTAGAGGCCTAGTAATCTGTCGAGGATTAAGCTGCTGGGACTTGGTGAAACACATGATTTGACATCAGTCTTTTAGAATCCAGAGACTAAGCTTCAGATCACTACAGTCAAGTGACCCTGCCGATCGTTAAAAGAAATTACGGAGGATTTCCCATGTATTTAGGTAGACCCTTGAAGCTGGGAGAATCACACGCCACATAAATGCTATTTTAAATTAATTTATATCTTGCTGAATTCCACAGTGGCTTCGAAGCGGCTACGGCAAAAGCTTACCTCTCCATTTTGCTTTGCTTGTTTTCCTTAATAATACATGCTTTTGCTTTCACTTTTTTTTTTCCCTTAGATTTGTTTTGTTTTAGTTTTTTTTGGCAGGGGGTAATTAGATGTATTTGTTTATTTATTTTTATGGTTTATTTTACTTTTTTAATGGCAGTACTGGGGACTGAACCCAGGAACCCTTGCATGCTAAGCAGGCACCCCACCGCGGAGCTCTATCCCCGACTCCCGCGGCCACCTGTTAAGGTGCACACCTCGATCTCCGGGGCGCTGAGCACTAAGGAGCTTACTCATCTCTGCAGGTGCTCAACAGATCTGGGCTATTCTCTCTCAAGCGCAAGCGAGGCTGAAAACTTGGATGCTGTTGTGACTTCACCGTCACAAATTTCAGGGGCCTCTCTGATGTTATAAACGTTTCTGTGCCAGTCTTCCAAATGAATAAAGTCAACTCCCAAGTTTGCCTGCCAAATCTTCACTGGATTATAATGAAATGCTTACGTAGGCCAGGGTGATTCTTTGATACCAGCAGGGAAGGAGGATATTTCATCATAGAGAAAACCTAAGAGACAGTGCTTGTGAACGCGGGTGACAAGTTATCAGAATTCAGTGTACAGTGGCCACGTTTCCTCCTACTGGGGGGTACTTACTTGAGAGGAGAGTGATAAAAGGATATTGCATTCAACCTTGCAAGCTGACCTGCGGGTGACAAAGGACACAAACAAGAAAGGTGACAATGTCAAGTCTGTGCTGCAGTCAAGCCGGTGAATTATTTGGTTGGAAGCCATGCAGAAAGATAGACGGAGAGAGAAACACAGAGAGAGTCTGATGAATGAAAGTAACTTTCTGACCCAGCCAACAACTAAATGCTCACAGAGCAGTCCAGGAAAACCACTTCAACCTTCCCCAGGGCATGTATCTTGCGTGGGCCTGTTATAATCTCCCAGCCCTTTGCTTTGCCTTTTCCTTGAAGTCACTGGGTATGGAAAGGAAAGGAGAGACAGAAGGAGCTTAAGATTGACCAGAGATGGCACGACCTCCAGTTGGAGCTGACGCTGTTTATAGAATTTCCCTTCATTTCGCTCCTGTCAGGTTAAATTCCTAATTCATTAAAACAAATGAAAAATCTACCATGTATGAAAGACTCTCTCTCTTTAAAAAAAAAACTAAAAATTCAGTTACTGTTGTCACCAAAATTCAGAAACCCACATAGGCTCCAAGAGGGAGGCCAACAGCTGCCTCTAACAGCACGAACCAGAACATTGATTAATTAACCAGCTCTCTCTCTCCCTCCATGCAGCAGAGCCAAATGAGGCAGGTGGAGGAATATCCTCCCTCAGAGTTCCTGGAGACACCCTGGGCCTTCATCCAGGCCAATTCCCTTCTGCGGACAGACCACAGAAATCCCAAACGAAGAGCATCCTCCTTGCTCTGCCTCAAGGCAACTTTATTTCAGCAGCGTTGACGTATCTGATCACTGTTTGCTTTGCATGACTAGGCCTACCCTGGGGTTGCTTCTGAAATGCGGCTGTTAAATGGAAAAGACTAAGGGAACATTCCAGAACCTCTATTTTATACTGTCAAGGTGGGGTTATGGCTTCCTTCTTGCTATATTCTTCTTGGGAAAGTATTTCTAAACTGAATCCATAAACAGATGAGGAGAGGAGAGTTTATTCTCTCTGCTTTTCTTTCTTCTGCCAACAGAGTAAGAGAGGGCCACTGCTGACTTAAGAAGGTGGAGACAGCTTGTCTACCCATCGGACAGAAAGCCTGATGTGATAAATAACCCACTGGGGTCGGGGAGGCAACAGATCTCGACCAGGCAAACAGCCCCGAACTCTTAGAACCCCAACAAAACACAGGGAGGGGAAACAGAAGAAAAATAAACATGGCAGTTGAGTAATCTCCACGGAGAAAATGCGTTCCCTTAAGGATGAGTTACTAATTACATTTATTCCCAATTGCACGTGTTATATCCAGTGAATTCACAGATGGATTAATACGCTTTAGTATATATGACAATCTGTCCATCCACACTCTGCTGAGTGTGAGCCTACAGCTCCCCCAACATTTCTTGATGATGTCTGTCACTCTTCTACTATTGACATCTTAAAAAAAATGGAGGTACCGGGGATTGAACCCAGGACCTTGCACACGCTAAGCATGCGCTCTACCACTGAGCTATACCCTACCCCATACTACTGACGTTTGATATGAGGCGGAAGTGAGGGAAGCTGAGGACAAATGGTTCGAGGGAGGAGATATATGTATGCTTATTCAATTTCCTGGTGACTTGTTCTCTGTTACAGTCATCCCACAGTATCCGGGGGGGACTGGTTCCAGGACCTGCCCTTGCCTTGGACACCAAAATCTGTGGATGCTCGAGTCCCCTATAGTTGAACCTCAGTATCCACAAGCTCTGAATCCGTGGATATGGAGGGCCAACTGTGTCTTTTCTCCAAAAGCATTTTCCTAATGATCTCGGAGGACGAGGGACAGTCAGTCACCAGGTTTCCACTAATGTTTCCACCATGTTTTCACTTTCCAGCTCAGCATTTATAAGACTACATGGTGAGTGACAGCTCTAAGAAGTATTTAGTATTTTTTACTGTCTAGAATACGTGGACTCGGGAGTGCTGCCGGAATATTGCAGGCAGGGAGGGTGGAAGGATGGAGAAGGCACCTGAGTTTTGGAGCCGGGTGAGAGCCCCGGCTCCCGCGGGCGGGGGCAGAAGTGGGGGGTGGTGTGGGGCTGGCTCTCGGTACCTGGTAGGCTTCGTCCTGCAGCTTCTGTTTCAGGTATTCCTCCATCTTCAGCTCGTTCTCCAGCTGCCGGACAGATTCATCTTCATAGTTCTCATCCTCTGGCTGCACGTAGGGGTCCCCATCTTCTGTGACCCTGGGAATAAACCACAGAGGGCGTTTGGGAGCAAATCTTAAAAGGAAAGTATGGATGGAATTCATGTGTTAGCTGTAGTTTCGGGTGCACATTTATTCAGTCCTCCAATTCGCTGTGCTTTAATTTACTTCAGTTCAGTGTCTTCTTTCCCCTAATGAAAAACTTTTAAAAAACTTCGGAAGTTTGGAGAAATATATGCTCAAGGTTTTCTCATATGCAATTTTTCCGTGGCAGCCTGGTGATCACTGTCATTTATGTTTTTCTAGGGCTTACTGGAAGGAGTTGCCTTTCAAATGTTTGTTAGTCTTAAAAAGGGCAGGTTTTTCTTTTGGGAGGATATAGTTTTCCCAATTTGGGGGCTTTAAAAAAAAATGGAATCCAAGAACACTTTCTATAAGCAAAGTGAGCCCCCTAGTGAAATAATGATTAAGGACATTTGTTCACGATTTAACCCTCTTTGTGTTACGTGTGTACATAGGCACGTGCGCCCGTGTGGTTTATTTTTATGGTAGAATCAAGTCTCTGAATAACAGCTAATTGATGTGAGGAAGACTAAAGTTCTACCCCATAGCTCTTGATCTTAAAAACTTATACCAACTCTAAATGGAAGAAATCCATTTAATTGTCCAATTCCACTATGAAATAAATAGGTAAGAATGATCTCAGTCACTAACGTGTGATTCC